TGTGTGTGTGTGTGTGTGTGTGTGTGTGTGTGGTAGCTTTTCATCTCCAGAGGGGAAAACACAGGCATGTATTTGCTTGTTTTTGTTTTCCCCTGCCTCCCTCTCGTTCAAGCCCTCGTCTCTATGCCTCCCTCATCCCCGAGCTTCTATTGTGTGGCTGAGATGAAAACTAAACAGAGCCAAACCTGATCTCTCCTGTCTGATGCGCACACACACAAACACACACACACACAGACACACACAAAGATGCGCATGCCTGCAGACGCTCTCTGTGTGGTCCTGCACGTCTTTAGATCTTCACACAGTTGCCGCCAAAGTCTTCTAGAGTTGTGTGTTTATCACTGTTCTCTTTGTGCGCATTATATTACAACATTTCAGCAGCAGTGATTTTACCAAGCGTTGTTTTGTTCTGTCGGCTTTTTCCTCCGTTACTTCAAACAGAAGTAGACAGGCCCAGGTGGATTATTTAAGCACTTCAGGGCTTCAAGAAACATCGTAATCACTGTCAGTCATATCAGTATCATGATAATGGTACATAATCTCCAGTATTACACGTGTGCCTCTGGCTAAACTCTGATCAAAAGTTTCATTGCTTTTCCTCTCACCAACTTCTCTTTCTGTCTCGACAAGGATCGCACGGGGGAGTGTCTGAAGAGGACAGGGGCCAGTGTGGCCCTTACCTCCATCAGCAACGTCACAGCATTCTTCATGGCAGCGCTCATCCCCATCCCAGCGCTCAGAGCCTTTTCTCTACAGGTACAGTGGCTAGTGAGTGAGGGTTGTATGCGTGCGTGTGCGTGTGTGAGAGTTCAGTCGTGTGGGGCCTCTCTCTTACTAATAGTCCTGTTCCCGTCTTCATTGGCTCCAGATTTCTCCAGACTGTTGTTTTATTGATTTCATTCATCACATTGAAAGTGTGTACGTCTGTGTGCGTTTGTGTGTGTGCATGAGGAGAAGTGTGCGTTTTGTTAAATCCCCCCCTCCTCCTTCTTTGAGGCTGTTTAGTGGTGGGCCCGGTGTCTGTCCAGATTGTGGCTGAGGTCCTAGTAACTGAATCCCTCTGCGAGTGTGTGTGCGCGTCTGTGTACTCACATACCCTCACATCCATGTGCATGTGTGCGTGTGGGGAGTTGTAGTATCTGTGTGGGAGGTTTGAAACGCAATGGCCTAGATGTTTGCATGTGCGCATGTGAGCGAATGTACGAGCAAAGGTGGGGGAACACGAGAGGGGAGCTCTGACTTCTCTAACATCTGTCAGTAATTACAGACATCACCAGAACAGCGAAAACTAGTACAAAATGCCTCCAATAATCAATGAATTCCTAATTCATTTAAACAGTCAGTCATAGCGATACGTGCGCTAAAGAGAGGATAAGGTCAGATAAAAATCTCTGGTTTGAAGTTTGAGTCACTGCAGCACTAACCAGATGGATAGAGAAAGAAAAGGCTACATACATGTTTTAAAAAGTGATGGTTACAACAACAACAAATTTGACATCTCACCTTTGTGTGATGATCACCTTAATCTTCTTTAATCACATGGGTGACCCTCCATTAATGTGAGTGTAGGTTTTGCCGTTTTGTCAAAAATCTGGTTTGTTCAGTTTATTTACCCAAAAGAGTTTCTGTTTTATTGTTTACATAAGGTTTTCTTGACACCATCTTTATAGTCAGAGGCACTCTTATGTGGGTTAGCAAGCCAAAATGGATGATCACAAAAGCCAGTTAGTTCACCCAAGACAGGACGCCAATCTGCCACTAAGACAAAAAGGCACTCATTAAGACTCAAATATACTTTTGTGACAGAATAGGAATAACCACTTATGTTAACTTACTTGCCTCTGGTCTTTGGGGAGGATGCCAGAGTACCTGAAGGACAGTCCACTGTACCACTGAACCATCACAATCAAGCACACACAATAAAAGCATTCAGCTGAGAATTTCAACACATATTTTGCATAAGGAAGCTATGAAAACTTGTTGTAATACGCATTTGCAAGAATTTGCAGTTACATAAGTGATGTATCACTGACTATATGAAAATATTAAGTGATTTCCCCCTCCTGTTTCTTGCTCTTTAGTCCTCACGCACATGCATAGACTCACACACACTTGCATGGACACACAATGTGAGGTAAGATGTTGCCACATTGAGTACAATATTAGCATGTGTGGATTGATGGCTTTAGTAGAGAGAGTCTGTCAAACATGATCCATTTACCCCATGGGTCTAATCCACGGAGCTTCGTTTTCTACACACGCACATTGGAAAAGACGCATGCTCAACACACACACATACGCATACCATGCATACTTCACACTAGTGGTTTTGTTACCGCTAGACGGTAAAACTTCACGAAGTCGACATTCACGGTGATACTCATCTTTTATTATCGAGTGCATCCACACACCGCAACCTTGTGTCAGTGCCTGCAGTTTGTGTTGGCGTGTATGTGTGCGTCTCTTTATCAGCATTAAACACTTCCCATGGTCGACTCCACCTTGGATTCATCGCTTTTTCCCGCGCGCTCCTGCGTTATGTCTCATTCACTTCCTCCTATCAGTATAAACATAAGAAAAGGAATCTTGTCCTGATAACAGCAGCAAAACACACACACACAGAGGAACACACACATTCATGTGCAGAAAACAGATGTGATGATAAATATCCCCCACTCTGGGGTCAGCTCACGGTCACTGTGTGTGTGTGTGTGTGTGTGTGTGTGTGTGTGTGTGTGTGTGTGTGTGTGTGTGTGTGTGTCAGTGGACTCATACTGTATCTGTCTGGATGTTAGTGGGCCAATTGAGAATTAATTGTTCTGCTCTACTTACAGCTTTTTCTTTCTCCACGTCTCCTTCATTGACATTATATCTCTCTCGTTGACTGAGTAGCGAGCTGAGGAATGAGGGAGGGCGAGGATGTGTGTGTGCCTGTGTCTGGTTGGTGTTATGGTGTGGTTTAAGTAGGAGGCTGTACGTTTTTTAAGGTGACAGATATGTGTGTTTATGTGCATTTTTCTGTGTGAGTCTGTAAGGGGTGTGTGTGTGTTGTCTGTACAGCCACAGCGACTGCTCATCACCTCAGGCCCCGCGGGCCTCTGACTCCTTGGGTGGTCTGGCACACACACAGGATTGTGTGTGTGTGTGTGTGTGTGTGTAGTGGTCTGGCAACTACGCAATATCCAGATTGTACTCTGGGCAGGGCCCCAACCTAACCTCAACCCCCACCCTCTGCTCTAGTGCACCACCTTCAAATACTTAACCACAACATTGTACTGGCTTCTATTACACATACATATGCCTCACTTTTTCTCTGCACACTCAGTGTTTTTGCCTTGAAAGGAACTGGAAATGTGTCGAAAGGCAATTTTTCCCTCACTTGAGCCTATTCAGCTTGTGTTATTCTGATTTATATTCAGAGCAACACTGTTTTTGTTAAACAGTAATTCTTTCATTTAATACACTTTCAAAGTAGTTTTGTAAGTTGCAGCATGTGTATGGATGATAATGCAGTTAAATTTACAGCAAAATGCCCTTTTTGAATGTTACATATCATTTCACATCTTCACTGTCTACACTGCATATGATCACCTGTATTTTTTTTCCCACTGTTTGCAACTACAAAAAAAGTCAATCTGATCCTTTTTCTTGATAAAAAGCAGTTTTGTTTGGGTTTTTTCACCTGAAATAACCTTTTCTGTTTTTCTTGCAGGCTGCAGTGGTGGTGGTGTTTAACTTTGCCATGGTACTGCTCATCTTTCCTGCCATCCTCAGCATGGATCTCTATCGGCGAGAGGACAGGCGTTTTGACATTTTCTGCTGCTTCTACAGGTGTGCACACACAAAGACGCTCTTTCATATCTGACGAGACACTTATTGCTTTACCGTTCTTCCTTTTATGTTTTCCACCGATCTCTTCCATGATAATGAACCGTGTACGCACAAAGCTATCTTTAAAGATATCTTCACCGTAATCCCCCTCAGTTAAAAACTAATTACTGCAAAAGTTGTCTCTTTCCGTCTGACTGCTTGGTTGTTTGACTGTATGTTTATCTTTTCCAGTCTTCATTAAAGTTTGCCAGTCTGCCTGCCAGCCCGGGCATGCTCGTTGGCTCGGTTATTGTACAGATGTGTACACACACTATTAAATTCCACGGTTGGGTCCCGGCCCTATATTTCATGCTGCTGGCAAAGGACAGAAGATTCACAATAACATAGGGCTAATAAATACTTTTTGTAATGCAACACTTAACTGTTTCACAAAATCAGATGTTGTACATGCGTACTGGAATGGGTTTTTTTCCGTTAAGTCTGGTTTTAAATTTTGTTTCACAGCAGTGCCTGACAGTGTTTCATCGTATTTATGTCTGCAGCCCTTGTTCCAATCGTGTGATTCAGATAGAGCCACAGGCGTACCTGGATGGGACAGAAGGGAGTCGCTACAGCCCTTCCCCGCCATATCGTACCCCTCCTCCCTCATATCACATGCCTCCCCCAAGCTACAGCAGTCCCCCTCCTTCCTACAGTAGCCATGGTTTTGCTCAGCAGACCCAAATCACTATGCAGTCCACAGTGCAGCTCAGGACGGAGTACGACCCCCGAACTCAGGCCTTCTACACCACAGCTGAGCCCAGATCCCAAATCTCTGTGCAGCCCATCAACCCAGCTCCAGCTAGGACCAACCGTAACAACGAGTATTACAGTAGCAGCAATCACGCCAACATCAGCAACAACAACAACAGTGGGGGCTTGAATAATGGGGGGTCTCGAGGTTCTGCCAGCTTCTCCCATCATCATCATCCCGCACCTCCTCCTGCTGCATCGACCCCAAGTGCTAGCTCAGTTGCTCAGGGTGATGGAGCCTCATCGACTGGCCAGAGTCCAGAGAACAACAGCTCCACACGGGACCTGTTGTCCCAGATTGGAGAAGCCTCACTGGGCCTACGCTGCCTCAAGCCCCCCTGCTCGCGCTGGACCCTGGCCTCTTTTGCTGAGAAGCACTATGCGCCATTCCTTCTGCAGCCCACCACCAAGGTGAGTTCAGTTGCTCTCTGTGTTTCTGTAGAGTAGGGAGACAAAGAAACAAGCGGAATAGCTTCTGTATGAGGTAAAAGTGGGTTTGTGTGCTGACTCACTGTGGTGATAATTTGAATGGGAGGGTTAGTCACCGGAGTGTGTAAGGAAGGAGGAAATCGGGGGTGGAAATTGTGGTTATGTCCTATCTGAGACACACACACACACACACACACACACACACACACACACACACACACACACACACACACACACACAGTGGGTGGCCAGACCTTTTAAAGCCTTCCAGAACTGAAATCATGTGGTGGTCTGTACTTGACATTACAAAATGTTCCTCAGTTTCTTTCTTCTTCTTTTTTTTTTTTTTATATAAATTGCTTCACGTAGTCCTGCAAGGCATTAATCCGGCACTTTACTTTTTGCAGAAAAAAGAAAAAGTAGCACTTTTGCTACATTGTATCAAAAAGCATCTGACAGCTTATAAACAGCTTATAAACAGGCAGATGTTTTAATTGGATATTTGTTTTTTGATAAAGCTGTCTCTTCATCCCTCTGATTCCAGGTGGTTGTGATTGTGCTGTTCCTCTGCCTGCTGGGAGTCAGTTTATACGGGACCACCCAAGTGAGGGACGGCCTGGAGCTGACAGATATTGTACCAAGGGAGACAAGCGAGTACGACTTTCTCGGCGCCCAGTTCAAGTTCTTCTCCTTCTACAACATGTATGTGGTAACACAGCGCGCCGATTATGCCCAAAACCAGCCACTGCTTCACCAGCTCCACCAGAGGTTCCACACCATTCGCTACGTGCTGAAGGAGGAAAATGGACAGCTGCCTCGCATGTGGCTTCATTACTTCAGGGACTGGCTGCAAGGTAAATCTAAGTAATTTTAAGCTTGACGTACACATGCCACCTCAACCCGACCTAAACAGTGAATAAAACCGAATATGTCAAATTTTTGTGGCTCAGCACTGAACACACCAATGACTGGAGGTGTCATATTTTGGGCTCTCCATAATCTTCTCATGAGCGTCAAAGTTCACCTGGTTTCAAGGATGACCAGAATTCATCGATTAAAAGTCAAGGTTACTGTGTCAGTCAGTAATTTTAAGGTAATAGGATAAAATGAAAAAATATCAAAGGTTAACTTCGATGTAAGATCTATAAGATTTTTAATTCTGTAACTTAGGAGCTAAACGGGAAATTGTGGTCATATTTCACATGTGGTTGGATACTGAGTTAGTGACACTAATCATTTGTGTCCACATCATAAATTCCTTTCGAATTTTCGGGTATGAAATGAGTGTGGACAGGTATGGGCATAAACTGCACCTTCTGGTTGAGAATAAAATGGGTCAGATGCGGCATAATGGTGTAGAGCCAGTGTTAGTTCATTTGAAATTTTACCTTTGCTTATTTAACTTATTTAACTTTGCTATTCAGGATAGTTTAGGCATGGGAATAATTTACTTTCCCATGAAAGCATTTTGAGATCACAATTTTATTCCGTGTTTTGACATAAATCCGCAGAAAACAAGATGTTAGGCAGGAGTTCAGAAGTAGGAGGGACTGCATAAATGGACACTGACAGTAGCTGATTAAAATCACTTGTTTCTTCCATAAGTGGGATTGATGGCGAAGAGTATAGTGGGAGTCAATATTTTTCAACTTCATCTTGGGAAATGTACAATATTCAAAAACCTTTGGCAGCAAATATGTTGTCAGTGCAAATCGGCATGTATTGAACCAGTACTGCCTGCTCTAGTGTTTTTGTTTGTTTTTCTAGATAAAAATTTAATATTTGACACGTAAGACATGGTACACAACGCTTTAAATTAATTTTGAATGGAGTGATGGATGGATTTATTGTTTCATACAGAATTGCAAAGTATCAGCGAACAGTATTTTCTTTCATATGTCAGCCCAATCTATGAATGGCTTAATTCTCAGTGAGGAAATGTACTTAACGATAAAACACATCGTGAGAGTCTGTGTGTGTGTGTGTGTGTGTGTGTGTGTGTGTGTGTGTGTGTGTGTGTGTGTGTGTGTGTGAGCCGGCTGGGAACCACACAGGGAGTGTGTGTGGGTGAGAGAGAGAGAACTGTGTCTGATATTGCTCTCTGCAATGGTGGGACAAATTGGAGCCAGACAGGCCAAGGAACGAGACCCAAAACAACATCTCCCACAGACGGACCACAGCATGGGCCTTGGGGGAGAGCCGAGAAAAGAGGAGTGATACACATATGGATCAGAGAGTAGTATAGAAAAGAAGGCAGATGTTACTGATAAAGCCCCATAACGATCTCTTTGAATTAAAAGCAGCAGATTTTCTGTTTTTGAAGTCATGTTTAGTGGTTGAGAATGGAACTGAGTTATCATATTAAATCAATCAAGCCTATTATAGAGTTAGGGTTAGGTTAGGGTGTTGTGTTATTTACTGTGTTGGGTTATTGTTTGTTGTGTGTTGCAGTGGGAGAATGAAGATAACAAGGCATGTAACCTTTTTAAACATCCACATCTAACCAGTGTGTTTTGCTGTGGTTTCCTACAGGTCTCCAGCAGGCTTTTGACAAGGACTGGGAGGCTGGCCGCATCACCCACAACAATTATAGGAATGGCTCTGATGATGGCGTCCTAGCATATAAACTCTTGGTGCAGACAGGGCGCAGGGACAAGCCCATCAACTTCAACCTGGTACGTTTAGGATTTAAATTGAATTTATTAAAAGTGGATAAGCGATTCCTCTTGTCATTAACACGTAAAAGTTCATCCGTCTATCAAATGCATCAGATGTAAATTGAATGTGCTGCTATGGTGATGAAAGGGGATAATAATTCACAGAGATCATGAAAAAAGCTTCCTGGTCAATGCCCAGGTGCAAACTGTTGAAAGAAAACAAAGCTTTGATCTGAAACAAAGGCTTTAGATGGATGAACACACCTCGGTAAGCTTTTATTGTTGCGTTAGAGAAATCTCGTTCTCATTTGTCAGTTCTAATACTGGAAGTTAGCACTAGCCTGCGAGTGAATTGGTTCCTGATGAATGAAATCCTGGCTATCTGAGTGTCTATTGTCTGGCTATTTGACTGTCAATGGTACACTGCAATTCAAAAGATGTGTGGACATGTTGGGTTAGCAGCTTGATTTGCATTATATGAGGAAGTATGTGCAGATGTTATGTAAGCATAGACCATGCAGACTGTATTACATGGACTACAACTTGATAATAGCCTTGAGAGATGCTTCCACCACTTTCAAAGCTCTTTTGTGACGCTGTATGTGTATGCATATCTGTACATTTTGTTATGACTCTAGGGGAGCCACACCCAGCTTAAAACCATCTCTGACTATTCATATTTTTCTTTCTTTCTCTCTGTCTGTGTTCGTGTGATGACTTTACCGAGCTCAGGAATTTAAAGCTCTCACTGGAGCTGCAGCCTGACTCTGAAAAACCTATTAACTCTTCATTTAAACGATTTGTCAGTTTGCGTGTGGGGTTTTTTGTGTGTGTGTGTGTGTGTGTGTGTGTGTGTGTGTGTGTGTGTGTGTGAGATGTGTGTGTATAGCAGGGCCTTGACAGTGAGCTGTTTCCCTTAAACATCAAGTCTTTTAGCTTGACACATCGTCAGTGCTTCCAGCCACGGTTTACAGTATGAGAGGCTGGGATGGCTGAAACTGGTGCAGAGAAACGCCTGCAAACCCCAAAGTGTCTATAAATAATTAATCTGGATTCTGTGGCTCTAAGTAGAAACCTGAATCTGATTCACTGAGAGCTAAATTTTTAAAACATATTTGCATGTTTTTCTAATATAAACAATAGCGTCTGCTTCGTCAAACTACTTTCTGAGAGGAGCAGTTGAGGTTTACTGGTGTGGTATAGAAATGCTTGTCTGTTGCAGTTAATACATTCTAAGCCTTGAAGGACAAAGAGTGTGATAAACTAATGTCATTATTGCTTATATAGATAGTCCTATGAGCTGACACAAGGCTTCCAGGGTGACTCTGGTTTTGGTTGCATTTGTTTAGGTCTGAGATGCTAGTCCTATATCCACTGCACATAAAAGTAAAAATGTCTCCTCTTTACACATATTTAATTCTATAATCAGAACATGACTGTTTAGCTTCATCTCTGGTACTGAAGTAGTTCTCCATGAGCTTCTGAAAAGTTTGCACAGCCATTGGTGAAGCTGAAGTGCAAAATTAAGCCATAAAGTGAGTATACAACAAAGCATGTTATCTGAATCATGTGGTAAACTCCAGCTGAGCTGTTGAAACTGTCTCCTGCGTGCCACCGAATGAGTGTTTGATGTCCAGCAGTAACTCGAGTGTAGCGACTTGAGCACCTTGGGTCTCGGAAGGAGGTCGAGACAGGAACTTATTGAGGAAGATTAAATCAGGTCTCTTGTATGTCAGTGGAAAGATACCAACCTGATAATGTGAAAGTCTGGGGGAGAAACAGGAGGAAATGAGGGGAAAGATTGCATTTGTGGAGCTGGGTAAATGTTCTCAGCTTCAACAGGGCATTGAATGCTTTTCTTAGTTTAGTATCACCTCCAAAAAACAACATATGTGGATGCATGGCTGCATTCTTTGGCAGGAAAACGCAAAAACAGAAGATAAGAAACTGGAGAAATATAAAAACAAAATTCTTGGCCAGAATATCTGCAAACCTCAAACACAAAACAAGCCATGTCCGTTTCAACATCGAAATCATTTTCATCAAGGGTGATTAACTTTGACGCATAGCTCTTCTGTGTCTCCTGTTTATTTGTATTTAGAATTTGTGCAACTCTGTGTTCCAATCATACAGCTCTACAGATGTTTATTAAGGGTTGCCCACCTCTCCCCTTTGCTCTTATGGCTATTTGTTTATCCAAATAAACTCCATTGCAGCAGTTATCTAGCTGACAGGAAACAGGGCCAGTCCTGGTGTGCGGCCCCGTGACATCACTTCCTCTGCCTGTGAGAGAAGTGTACTTGCCGTGAGGCGTGGGGGCCGCCAGCAGAGCTGCCTGGGCTTCCCGTGACAGCTTGAAGACATACAGTTGTTGAGTATCCTGCTGTTAAATTCGATCCAGATCCACTGGAATCTAGCTGTCTCTCTCTCCTGCTCACAAACTCCAGCTCGCACCACCACTCGCTCTCTCCCTCTCACTCCCTCTGTCTTTTCCTCCCTCCCTTTCTCTTCCTTTTCTCCACTGCTGTGTCCTCTTTCATTGAGGGAGCTGGAAACAAGTGGTTTCTTTTAGACAGCTCTGTGTGTGCATTTGTGTGTTTTGAATGTGTGCTTCTCCTTTTTCTGTGTGCGTGTACTTGTTGAGCAGTAGCTTCCTTTTTGTTCCTTAAAATGAGGACCAGATCTTCAACATCCCTGGTAAATTGCATAGCTAGATGTTTTATTTTGATATGCCACTCTTTGGATCTGTGCAGAGGTGTTCTGCTTTTGATTTGTCCCTACTCTGTGCTGGTGACCATTTGTTCCCTATATGTGTGGCTTAAAGCTATTTGCATCGCAATTAAAAAATCTGTGGCGTGCGAGATAAGTCCTAAGAAAGGCCATGCTAACATTATCAAGAGCTCTTTTCTTCGTAGGGCAGGTCCATCTGTGGCGCCAGGCATTCTGGGTACCCACAGGGGTCAGGAGAACCAAGTGTGAGGAACATTTGTACAGATGTTGTGTTATTTTTATAGCTCTACTCCATTTGCTGGGTGGCATTTCCTTCAGTGTTAACAACCAGGTTAACTGCACACAGACGCGCTCAGGGACTCCAGCCAATTTTTTTATTGTTACGCTAACTCAAGCAATTTTTCTCTCCCAACCCCCCACCACAAAAAAACTACTCCTTTCTTGTACCTAACCCCACGAGTCTAGCTTTAACCCCCAGAACGCTCCCTGCCTCTGTGAAAGAGGGATTTATGGTTCCTAGAAGGGAGAATGGCAGAGTGGTGCGCAGTAATGGTTTTACCTCTCAGGAGGTAGCAATGCTAGACTACACTCCTGTTTCCACATGGGAGGGCAAAACTAACAGCCCTTAGTGAGACAGTCATTCGCGTCTACCTACTGACTTTTGCCGTCAAGGCAAATGACGCTGAATAAAAGAGTGCAATAAGGCAGAATCACAGACTCACACGCTCACAAAGATAAACAAAGTGCCTCAGAGAGTTTATCCTAAAGAAATCCAAGTGGAGTTGTCACTCCACTTGGATTTCCTTTTGACAGTTTGATGTGATGTAATTACTTGTACCATTTTCGCCTGAATGCACAGACAAAAATGGTACAATACAATGGTGCAATGATGTTTAGCCCAGGATGCTAAAATATAATATCATGCTTATGTTAACATAGTAACTAAATAGCTATGTCGCTGAGGCAAACGGGTAATTAGCTTTTCAGTATTGTGGTAATAAAATATGAGAAAATTGCAATTTGAACCTGATAGCGCTGTATAAAACATAAACGTATTATTCAAATTCTACTGAGGGGAACGTCAATCTTTGTATTTTTATGTCCTGAGTCCGAATCTAATCCTTTCATGTTCTTCCTCTATCTGTGTGAGTTCTCTCCGGCTACTCCCACACTACCTGCTTTCTTCCCCCATGGATGGATGGATGGATGATCCAGTAGCTCATAAAGTCACACAGATTCAGTATTTGAATGAATGAGCCTTGACTATGTTTCTGAGATATTTAGCCTGGACCAAAGTGGTGGACCAAAGTCAACAATGCATTCATTGCACTTATTCTCCTAACAAGACCAATTAGAAAGAAAAATACTTTTATGTTTTTGTTCACCTGAAAGTGCCCAACTCCAGAAACTCAAAACACAACCTGCACAGCTCTAAAATAACCAGAATGCCTGTTTAAAGCTTCCTTGCTCAGATTGCTTGGTTCTACAGGCAGCAGCAACAGCTACTTCTTGACAGGAGAGCGTTGCAAGGCTTCCTTTAGAAATTTATTCAGAGTGGTCAGGACGTTGGGTCTGAGGTTGGCCAGCCAATATCTACTATATGTAAAGGGAGAAGCTGATTCAACATTTTCCATGTTTTAATGTGGCATGATAATTCTGGGAAGCTGTGATCAGAAGTACGGGAATGTTCAGAAAGGCAACCAGTGTCTGACTTGTTGGTTTTTCTTTGGTTGGAAAGAGAGAGGGGCTAATATTTGACTCATATTTTGAAAGCTGCTCCGTTCTCTTGCGCTCATGCGTGTGTATAAATAAGCATTTCTGTGGTCAGCTCACCTGTAGAATGTTATGGTTAAACATCCCTTATTTCTACAATACCTTCATTTCCAGCGTGTACTTAACAGCCGCAAGCACTTCAATTTTTTTCTACTTTTTTTCCCCCCTCAATTAAATTTTTTCCATTTTCTAATAATTCCATTTCAGTTCAAATTTTGACGGTTTGCTTGGGTGTAGTAGACAGACGAATGACATAATGCATTCGATGAATTATGTGTTTGAAAATTGTAATTTAAGAGGCTATACCAAAACCTATAAGTCTAATATTACAGTCATTAATTCATCTCGTTTGTGGGTTTTGTAGCTGACTCGCCAGAGGCTTGTGGATGCAGATGGGATCATCAATCCCGGAGCTTTTTACATCTACCTAACAGCTTGGGTCAGCAATGATCCTGTGGCCTATGCTGCCTCACAAGCTAACATTCGTCCACACCCTCCTGAGTGGCTCCACGACCATACCGACTCCATGCCCGAGACACGCCTCAGCAGTAAGTCTGCATGACCTATGTTCACATTATTTTACCGCTGAATACTGAGTAGTGCGACAGAATGGAAGAAATTTGAAATAATATTGCTTTTAGTTCCAACAAGTTCGGTAATCCAGCTCCACATTAATTTGAAATGTTACTGTAAGGTACGGCCAAACATACTGCATTTATTATCTGCTTACTGAAATTTTATGCCTAACTTTTGTGAGGTTTATGAGTCTCGGCTGCAACTTTTTCAGTTTCCATAAGGCAGCAGCTGCATGTAAGCAACGTTCACATCTTGTGGTTTGAGTTATTGGTCCTTTTTAGCTCTAAGTGAGGTATTAGACTTTACTGTACCACTGCAATATGTGTGCATTTGTGCATGACTGAGCTCACTCTGCTAACCCGAGGACCAAGACACAACTTGCTGTTATTCTTTTAATAGTGCCTGTGGTAAATGCTATAATCCTGACTACCATGGGGCTCTAGCATTACACACACATACACACATTATTAAAACTCAGCGACCCCAAAAACAGCACCCACCCTGTTCTCGTTTCCCTACCACACACACACACACACACACACACACACACACACACACACACACACACACACACACACACACACACACACACATAAAAATATACTTACATTGTTATTTGACTCTAGCCTGTGATTTGGTGTAAGAAGGTGTTACAGGACAAGGAAGGGGGATGATTGGATAATTAAAAGAGAGAGACAGGGTTTGGGTTGGAAGCACAATTGGATAACAAACAGGAAGTCCTTGACAGCGGGGGAACGTGACTGGATAAACTGCATGAAGTGTTTGGCTGTGCGGGAGACCCCCGGAGCAGATCTATGTTTGCCAAAAGCTGCAGGTGTTCTAATCGAAATTTTATAGTTGAGACTATAATGGGCCATACCATGTTAGCAAGCTCTTCCATCTAACCCTACACTTACTATGAAATGAATACATTCAAAGCAACATTAGACAATACTACAACATGTTCTATAAGATAAAAAATAGGCAGTAGACTGGTCTAGTAGTCTGGTCTTTAGTAGTGATACTGCAAAGCTACTTCTAAATGTGGCAACTTCTAAATCTTTTGTAAGCACCTACTATGCCTCCATAGCATCGTGACAGGCAGATATATACGTGATCACACATTTATATTGTGCCTTACGTGGTGGTGCTAAGATTAGGGTGTGGTAATGGCAGTGATTCTGACATTGTAATTAGCTTGAATCATCGTTAGCTCTGACAGTCTGCTGTGTCTGGAACTGATAGGCCCTCATTAGCCAGGCTGGGCCACAGGCTGGCCAGGACTGAGTCAATGGAGGTCTGTTTCACTCTCCTCCGCCACCCCCACAGAACACACACACATGCAGATACGCACACATGCACATACGTCTGCAAACGTAGCTTCTCTTGGAACAGAGCTGCATTAGGAACGGAAAGCCTTGGTATTCGTGGTTTGGATATAGAGCCTCAATTATTTCTGCAGACACACGAAATGATCAGAATATAATGAGAATTAATCAGAATAGACAAATGTGATCTGCAGAAGCCACTGTTGATTTATCCGATTGCTTCGTCGATGTCTACAGTCTTGAAACGTTATCATCTGTGTGGTGTTTGCTTCCAAGGCCCCAAAGAAAATACTTCACCAGTTGCTTCATGGCATATGTCATATAATGAAAAATCTAAGTCGGGGGGGTACAGCTTTGCTAACAATTAAACCAACCTTCTCTGATTTTCTCACCATCCAGTCCCGGCTGCTGAGCCCATCGAATACGCACAGTTCCCCTTCTACCTCAACGGGCTCCGGGAGACGCCGCAGTTTGTGGAAGCCATCGAGAGCGTACGGGCCATCTGCAGCAACTACAGCCGACAAGGCTTGCCCTCCTACCCCAACGGCTACCCTTTCCTGTTCTGGGAACAGTATGTTAGTCTACGCCACTGGCTTCTGCTGTCCATCAGTGTGGTGCTCGCCTGCACCTTTCTCGTCTGTGCCCTTTTTCTGCTCAACCCTTGGACCGCTGGCATTATAGTAAGTGTTGGAGAAAACACACCACATGCACAGAGACAAATGCAGTAACTACAAATATGTGGTATGACAATGCCCAGGGAAACACACGTAGCTCCATAGATTGCAGCAGATGTTCTGAGAGATAACTTTAGAGAAAGATACAAATGTGTCTGCTACTTCTAAAAAGGTTTTTGGCTGCTTGACATAGAGAGAGAGAGAGAGAGCTTAGCTTTCAATTATTTAAAAGTCAATTTCTTCCCTCTCTTCATGTCATTTCCTGGTTTTTGCGTGTGGTCCAGAATGCATGTCAGGAGGAGAGAGTCGGAAAAGAGAAGGGGCTGGTGTGTGTTATCGTAGCCCCAGTCACCAGTGTTTATCTTGTGCTGTTTTGTTAGGACCAGTCTGTTTAGTCTAGTCCAATACTCCCAGACACAAACTCTGAAATAAATGGGAAGAGGACAAAAAGTTGCCCCAGCAACTGGCTCCCACTCTAAACCTATAAAATGTTTGATTTTATTTCCATCTCTAACATTCATCCACTCTTGCTCCTCTCAGACAAGACGTTTCCAAGGATATTGGCAAACGTGTTCGCATACACAAGCCAGTTCTCAAAAACACTTTGAGCACTCTAGTGCATGTACATACTTGCACACACATACAGTATGAATGTTTAAACTCGCAGGTGATAATTCACACGGAAACACGTACAAAGAGTACTCTGGTTTTTCTCTCTAGTGGGTTGTATTTTACAACCGGCAGTGGCCAGGCCACCCGAACCTTGAAACAAGGGAGGAGGGGACTTCATGTTCATCCTCTTCAGGCCTTACTAGTAAGATCAAAACATCAGTTATAAGAGAGTTCTATCAAAGCCCAAAGCACAGGCAGCCATACAACATCAAACTCTCAAAGCCTTCAAGCCCTGAAATCCACCATGACCATGTAGACAGAGGCTTTGTGTAAATATCATGTCTTGTGTTTAGATTTATACAGTTAGTTTTTAATCCACTTGATTTTGACTCCTCTTAACACTTAAAATCTGAATGGGTCTCAGTACATTTAGAGCAATCCTTTGTAATCTCAATCTGTGTTCCTGATTTATGTTTTATATTATTTATAGAAAAAACATTGCTTAAAAGAAACAAAAAGGCAGGTGTATACAAGGTTTTACCTCACACAGAGAATTTTAGTAATAGTAAATGTAATATAATGCAAGAAAATGTGTTAAATCTAGTAACATCTTTTCCTCAAACTATTTTATTTTAATATACAGTATCTGCACACTTGTAATTAGATCACCCAAAATGCCCTTCAGAATAAAGTGGCAGACACACCACACAGTACAAATACCCTTTGTGGATGTGCACATACTCTGTGCTGGGTCACCTATAGGTGCACGTACACATAGTTACCTCCTCTGCCCACCTTAACCCTCTTCAAAGGATTTGGGCCCCGTGTAACCTGACACCTGTCAGCTGATAATAGCAGCTCCTGTAATGCTTTGCTCCGGAGTCTCCACAAACACACACATTTCACCCACATGTATGGTTACTGCTCAACACATTTATAAGGCAGATATACTCACACATATCACCCTCATGTGTTATTTCTCTGCCTCATCTGTCTTGTATGCAGTCAAATTTAAGGTCAAATGGAAGTTCACACAGTTAAAGCAGGGAATAATGATTTGTTCTTTCTATAATAAGACAGCATAAAGTAGAATAACTCCATTTGTGGTAATTAAACGCACTGTGCTCACAGACAAGTTTTACCTGTTTCACCTAGCAAATGTGCATTATAATTCTGAATTAGCTGGCATTTTCTTATCCCTTTTAAAGGTATTGTTTGTATCTTTTAAAGTCAAACATCGAAGAGAAAAAGACGATGTGTCCTGAAAAACCTACAGAAACCATTTGAATGGATATTGGATAAAATAAAACGGTTGCAAACACTGAATCGTGCAGGCTTTTTGTAACAACTGGCACTTTCTATGTGTAAAAATGTTTTAGAACTTTGAGTTTATTAACTACACAAGTGTAACTAAAGGTTCATGTAAATTGAACAACTACCCACATTTCTCACAGAAACTCTTACTTTCTCTTCAGGTGTTGGTGCTTTCTCTCATGACTGTGGAGCTGTTTGGCTTCATGGGGCTGATGGAAATTAAGCTGAGTGCCGTCCCTGTTGTCATTCTCATCGCCTCTGTGGGCATTGGAGTGGAATTCACTGTCCATGTGGCCCTGGTAAGTTTAAAAATGAATTAGTGAATTTACTTACTTTCTAATCCTAAATGCTGCTTGCTGGAATGGTGAGGTCTATTGCTGGATGGATTCAGGTCTCTCTGATGGTTGTGGAGCAAGTTAACCTTTTGAGAACAAGACATAAATTGTTTTTTGGTTTTTGTTTTTTCTGTGTGTTGTAGGCATTCCTGACAGCCATAGGGGATCGTCACAAGCGGGCAGTGCTGGCACTGGAGCACATGTTTGCACCGGTGCTCGACGGCGCCTTTTCCACGTTTTTAGGCGTCCTGATGCTCGCAGGCTCTGAGTTTGACTTTATTGTCAGGTCAGTTACAAAATCAAACTCACAAGAAACTACTGCTTTAATTTGAACTTGAAACCATGCATATTTGCACATACAGAAGTTATCATATATATTTAAATAATGTTCTTAGACCATGCCTCAACCTGTATACCACACAGGAATCCACCTCAGACCCCGATCATGCATGACAGCTACTCACTTCTTCTTTTGCTTCTCCTCTTTAAATCTCATCCAATTTTCACTACCACTAGCAATTATTCATTATTATTTACTATTATTATTTATATTTTTCGTCTCTTTCTGGGGGATGATCTCCAGGAAACCTCACCAAAAATCTCTTTCCTTTTTTGTCTTTTCTTTTATCTACCTCTTCCTCCTCCTAATATCTGTCGTGCCCGACATTTTATGGGAAACCAGGGAAAGGGTTGAAAATTAAAGGTGAAAAATAGGTGGGGGGGAGTAGGCTGTAAGGGAGGTGACAGAGGGGAGCAAAGTGAAAGAGAGTGAGTGAGTGAGGGAGAGCAGGAAAGACCTCTGGCTTTTGTAATCTCCCTCAACTGGTTTAACTGCCCTCACTAGACATTTATAAGCAGGGAAAGGAGTAACAGAGTGGGGGGCAAGAGAGCAGTTGTACAAAGACAGGAGAAGTGGAAATTAAAACCGACACACTGCTGGAGCGCCGTGCAGGTGGCTGCTTTTGTGTTTGCACCTTCTTAAGCGTCAGACAGAGAGGTAGCGACCAGCTGCCGTTCAAGGGAGGAGTATGAATAATTCTGTATGTTCTCAACTCCTACAGTATTATGAGAAGTTTCCCCAGACTTTGGTGTGTAATTTAAACAACCTTATGTCTTTACATGGCCATATGTACACACATTCTTGGTTGCTGCCAGATGAGGTAGCTGTATGATTTGGCCTGCTTCTTTGAGAGCTAGAATCACTGAACTCCATGTGATCTGCAAGCGTTCATCTGTGCACACCCGCACAGTTACACAGTTCCCCCCTCGTATAGACACACCAACCTGCTCCCTGACCCTTTAATCATGGGGGTCAATGATGGTGCGCCTGCCAGTGAGAGAACACACAGATACACACTCAGAGAGACACATACAAACATACGCACACAAACTATTGAGGCCTATAGACCTTCTCTCCGCACCTCCAGTGGTGTGCTCTGGTTTCTGGCTCAGTCTCGGGCCTCCATTTAAAGGTTCTGCTGTTGTCTGAGCAAACAAAGCAGCGCCCCAAGACGGTGCAATAACAACAGGCCCAGCTCATATTTTTCTGCTTGCGCCGAAAGAAATGCTTCCCTGACTTTCCCCATCAGCCCTGTGAATGTTTTCACTCTAAACAGCCTGGTATGTGGGCTGCACGCGTGCACTCGTACATATGTGTGCACATGTTTCTTCAAAGGTGACGTGGCTTTTACTCCTGATGCTTTGTATGGAAATGCAAACCATAATTATGAAACTGTTATTTTAGCTCTAGGTAGCTATATTAAAAAAAAAATCATCCTAGGACCGTAGTTGATCATTATCCAATTTAGGAAATGCAGTCCTTCTTTTGCTCCCTGCATAGACTATTTATCTCTATGCAACTAAATCCTGACTCGCTGTAATTAGTTAACAGAACTTGTATTTCAAGTTAACTACAAAAATATGCTGCTCTTGTCTATAGATTGTGCCTCGCTGCCTCATCATTGTAGTATCAGAATTTCTACAAGTCACTTCATCCATCTTTTGGGTAGCTTTGCATTGGTTTTTGGGTTGTTGCTTTTTACTCGATCTTAGCATGTCTGTTACTTTCCAAGTAAACCAAATGGAAAGGGTGAGACTGTTTCACTGTAATTCGGTTTTCTAGAACTGTGCATGAAAGGCCACCCCTGCTGTGTAGACAGGGACCCTTGCTCCGTACTTGTGGATAGTCTTTTCCACAGTGTCCCTTCATTCTCTACACGCACACATCAATAAAACACAACTGAAGGATTAGTTATGAATGTGCACTTAATCTGAGGCCCAGCTGCATGGCACATCTACACCTTTGTTAGCTCCTATTTACACCCACCCGTGCACACACAAACAAAGAACATAGTCAAGAGTCAAGAAAAAGCCTTCATGGCGTGTCCCTGAATACCTGAGAGCTTCCAGCGGAAAACCAATGGGTGGCTGTGCGGGGTATGGGGTGGGCTTCCATAATGAAGGAAGCAGGGTTAGTGAGAGAGGGAGATTTAGAGTGGAGATTGGGGAGTCTTACCTGATACATTGGAGATTTAATTAGATGGAGTGGCTTGTGGAGTGGCCGGGAATTTCACAGGGGCTTAGCTGGAAGGAAGGGAGGGAAAAAAGCGAGGAAGAGAGAGAGAGAGAAAGGAGAGTGAGAGAGGCCAGGGAGGGGTGGCGCTGAGGGTCCCCTTCTCTTCTTCCTAGACTAAATTGTTTAAATTCTATACCCTTCACTTCATTTATTTGCTTCTCGCTTTTCTTTTTCTTTTCTTTTTTTTTTTTT